AATGTATGATTATGAGTATTGACATGGCAAGAAATGGCATGATGCATTCATGCATAAGCATTGGGAAAGAAATGGGAAGTTGATTTTAAAGGAAATAAAAAGTGGTTTTTGGAAAAAGTTTTGAAAGGGTTTACGAAAACTCGGTCGCCTAGAAGTTGCCTAGGAACCGTGGCGTTAGTGTGGCCTAGGGGAGACTAGGAAGATCGTCTTAGCATGATTGAGTTACCTGACCCCAAATGACGCTAGGGAGTTGCCATGGGTCAAGGACAGTTAGCCAATCCTCCTCTCGTGCCGCCATGGAGTTGCCATGGTATGAGTTGCACTAACGGTTTGAAAATGATGACCGAAATGGTTTTGGAAATAGGGAGCGACATTGCATAACATTGCATCCCATTTAACGGCATATTCATTTGTTATATTGGATGATGTGGTAATGTAGTTATATCTTTCCCCGGCATAGCATGATCCCGCTATCTTATTGTCTATTCATTGTATGGATTCATGGGGTCTCAGGAGGTGTACCTTAGGCACCTCCTACTAAGCTTATGCTCACCCCTTCATCTTAATATTTTTTAGGTCATGGGAAGGAGGTGGCGGATAACAATCCACCACAAGCATAAAGGGTTTAGAAGAGGGTTTTGCAATCTTTTGTGTATAGAGCCATTCTTTTGTAGAGCATCATGACAAAAATGTATTAAGTTTGTCTAGCATGGCCTTGTAATATAACTTTGACCTTTGACTCTATTTTGATGTAACATGAACTACTTGTAATAACCATGCATAATTCTCATTGAATGGGGAAAAGGGTGTTGCTCTGTATCACATTGTTGATATTCATATCTATGGAATATAGAAAGTCACTTTATAGTGCATTGGAATAGGTTTTAGATCAGTTTTTAAAGTCCTTACCAACGTTTCTTCATTTTCACATTCATAACTGTTCAGTTGCAGATTTCTAGCTCGAAGGGCCATTTCGGCCGATCCAAATAGGCACTTCAGTCGGCCGATCATTCCAGAAGCATCAACTACTATTTAAGGCACAACCGGCCGACCAGAATGGTCATTTCGGTCAACCAGTACAGACTTCATTTTGGTCGACTAGTACAAACTTTATTTTGGCCGACCGAAGCTCCATTTTGGACGACCGAAATGAAGCTGTCTTGTGCACTTTGTCCCTCCTTTTGTATGAATAATCCTTGAGCCATGGTAAGTTTTTTTAAAGCCTTCTTGAGTCATATTTAGGAGGTAATGGTGATATATGGACACTAGACTTGATGTGGATTGACTTAGGTAATCTCGAGTTTAGGTAAGAACTCGGTTAACGGTCCAGACCCACGGGTTAGGGTCGTTATAGGGGCAAAGGTGATAGGAGTGAACCCCACGAGGAACAAGTTTTGGGGAATGGGTACTTGTTCTCAAGATGGGGTAAGGGTGTAAAGAACGAAGGGGTTTGCTCTAAGCCTGAGAAAGGGCAAAGGGGAATATAAAGAGTGATGAGGCGAGGTTTGTTGCTTTAAACCATAAAAGCAATTAATGAAGATGAGTTGAAAATTTGTGGGTTGCCATGAATGAGAAATTGAACACCAATAGGTTGGATAGAGAAGATATAAAAAATAATAAAAAATAAAAAATAAAAAAAAATAAAAAATAAAGAATAATGAAATTTGAGAAAAGGTGGAGATTGTTAGAGTGTTTCTCAATTTTATCATAGTGCTTTATTGAGATGAAAAATCATCAGTTAAGGTGGAGTTATGAAGAGATCCTTGTTTGAGGTGGAGCTATGGTGGAGTACATACGTGACGACATAGTTTAATCTGGTATTGATTACGTAAAAAATTAAAATGGTCAAACTTGTTGATTTTGGCTTACCTTTGGCTATTGCCAAAGTTGAACCGGTTCCAATGGGACTGAACCGGTTAAACCTAAACGTATAGTTCTTTTGGCTTCTGGCTACTACCAAAGTTGAACCAGTTTAAATATAGCTGAACCAGTTTAACTTGGACAGTGAGTTATTGGAACCTGCGAGAAACAGTTCTCTAATCAGTTTTGGATTCCAGAAGACTTAGAGGAAAAATGGTGAAGATTTTGGGAAGAAGTTATACCTGCTATTTTACCATTAAAGACGGATATGTTAACTCCTTGTAAGCAAATTGGGAAATAAGTGTTCAACAAGGAATTAGTTTTGAAGACTTTATAAATGGATATGGGTATGAGAGAGAGAAGAGAGAAAAAATATAGGGGTTTAAGGGTGAGTGTTATGAGGAGATGGGAGAGTATATATAATTTTCAAGTATATACGTATAACCCCAAAAGAGATAATGAGTGAGTGAGTGAGATTTTGACATGTGGTTGTATATTCTTTTACTTGATTTATAATAATGGAAATCTCTCTCTCTATGGATATAACCCTAAAGTTGGGTGAACCATGTTTTGCGTGAATGTATATAATTGTTATCTTCATATATACTTGTGATGTGATGATATTTTCGTTGTATGTGTGATGAGTGATAAAGCTGAAATTTAGCTCTCAACAACAATTCACGTGTGTAGAGAGAATACTGAACCTAACTATTTCACTAATGAATTTGATTCTTGATTGATCCTTCCACTGTTAATCCGAGGTATTGTCTAGTCCAAACTTCTTTTTACGACTAAATACCATACACGTATCTAGCTAGTAAGAACATGATGGCTTTCATGACCTGTCACCAACGTTTTTACATGACAAACAAACTTAATGTCCATAGGTGACCTAGATCAATTTGGACAACTTTCCTACTCATCATATATACGACAAGAAAACTATTTAAAAGTCTAAGGGTGTGTTTGGTATGGTTGATTTGAAAGGATATAAAGAAAAAAGAAAAGAAATGATAGGGTGAGAGTGTGTTTGGATGACTTAAGTAGAGAGAAAAGAGAGGATAAGGAGAGATAGGGAAGGATAGCTATCCCTCCCTATCCCTCATTTGCTTTCTGTTTTAATTTGAAAAGATAAGGAGAGAAAGGATAGTGGAATAAGTGATTGATTCGTAATACCAAAAATACCCTCCACAAATCATTATACAGAAAATGTGTGAAGTGGTTATGAAACGGTAAAACAGTAATTTGGTCACTATTTTTTCTTTTCTTTTCTCTCTTCTATTTTATCCAAACAAAAATAACTATCATTTCTTTTCTTTTCTCTCTTGTTTATCCAAACAAGAATAGAAATTATTACTATCATTTCATTTCTTTTCTTTTCTCTCATAACTAATCTTATCATTTCTTTTCTTTTTTCCCCTGTCTATCCAAACACACCTTAAGTAATTTGGTCTATTTATGGAAGAGAATTAATTGATAGATTTAATCAAAAGAATTTGCCAAGTTAGTCAGCCTAAATATTATGATACATATCATATTGTATTTCATATATCAATGTTAGGTAAGCAGTCTTGGTCATTGTTATGTTCTTGCGTGGAGGGTAAATAGAATTGGTCATATAAATTCTGTTTTTTTCTCAATTCTATTCCGTCACAAATCATATTTCAATGTCGTGCCATAACTCACACTTTGAATTTTGATCACATATTAGGGACTTTGCCGAGAAGAACTTATTTAATATTTGACAAATCATCAAGAGTGTTCATTTTCCTCTATCTATTTTATACAAATTTTTAAGATACCCAGTGTGTGAAATGTTATATTTTTATGAAAACAATACTAATTGTAAAATTATTTTCTAAACAAAAAAAAAAAAAAAAAAAAAAAAAAAAAAAAAATCAAGGAAACTCACTTTATGAAATCAGAAGAAACTTCTATAACAGAATTTTACTATGAAATTTCTTTTAACCGTAAAATAAAATAAAATAAATAAAAAATCTCAACTTTTACGATTTCATAGATCATCTTCTCAACTTTCATTTTTTCACATAACCTCCTTTATTTATTAAGAAACTCCGCAAATCACCCCTTGAAAGTTGATAGTGGTTTTACAGTTTACCCTATTCTTTATTCTAAGTTTTATTTTTACGCAAAAAATAGTAAATTAGACCCTTTAACGGCACTTGAACCAATGGGAGTAAGTTGCAACTTGCAAAAAGTTTGAGGTTGCATCAGTAGGTGTATTTGCAAATTCTTGTAATTTGAAGAGGATTTCTTGGCAGGTTACTGTTTTTTAATTCACAAATTTTTTAAGCGATGTGACTTTACGAAAAAGAAAAAAACTGATGTGATGTGACAAGATGAAAATGGGTTCACAATATGTTCTTGAAGGCATTTTGGTAGAAAAGAAAAAAAAAATCATGATGTCTAGCTTTACTGGATCAATATTAAAAATAGGAAAAATATAAAATAAAAAAAAATTAATAATAATTGAATCAATAACATTTTCCTTCTTATTTATTTATTTATTTTTTACTCTTTGGCTTTGGTAAATAAGCAACGCAAATACTTGACCGGATGATTAACATTTTTAGCATTCACCAATATTTTTCCTAGAAAAATTCTATAATATTTAGGAGATATATATATTTTGATTTTGACATGGTAAATATATTTCCCTCTGAATCAAAGTTTCCCTCTAAACCAATATAGTTTTCGAAACTTTGATTTAGAAGGAAACTTTCATGGTAATATTTCTCGTTTTTTCAATTTAGTCTTGAGGGATTCACACCAATATTGAAGAAAAAGTTTTTGGCGCCTATTGCAAGCAAAGAAGTTTTTCTCTTATTCTTGAATACAGTTCTACAAATAATATGCCATGTATTTGTATCTTTTGCCAGCAATTTTTTTTTTTTTTTTTGGGTGATCATGGGTGTTCGGGTCAACTTATGCGCACTTCGCACCTCGACTAATTCGACGAGGCCCTAGAGTTAACGATCAGTAAGCCTCCAGCGACCCTATAGAGACTCTTACATGTGACCATTGAGGAACAAACTCAAAACCTGACCAACCGAGTTACCCCGCAGAATTTTTTTGCGGGCATATTTTCATCCAGCAATAGTACCATTTACAAGGTAAAATTAATCATAATGAAAAATACATTCAAGCTCATTTATTGATAAATTAATGCATAATATAACAAACATATATTATCCACAACCCTTCCCTCTCATTTTTTTTTATTTTTTATTTTTTATTTTCTGACAGGAGAGAGAGAAAAGAGAAGAAAAAGATCAATCACCACAATACTAAGAACTCTGGGTTGAGGAGGGGTACCCTATACCATGGCGCTTGTTTGGGAAAATCATGAACACCGAGCCGGAGACTGCACCAATAACAGGAGGCAACACCATCAGCAAAACCTTCTCATTCGACTCGAAAGACGGGTAGAAGCACTCCACCGTGTTCGAATCCAAAAGCCCAACCATAGCAAACACAATCAACGAAAAGAAGGCGTGAACAAAGTCCGCGAATCGGAGTTTATATTTGGACAAGTCCACGGACCCCTCCGACGGCCAGAGACCCTTGGCCGTCGCAATGCCATAGTGGGTGTCTCCGTTGCTGTCAGTGTAGCTGTCTGTGAATGAAGAGAAGCAGCAAGAGAAGCCGGAAAGGGCAATGAGTGTGCCAGATAAGTACTTGTTGACGGTGTGGCATTTGCCATTGTTGGTTAGCACAGGGTTGAGGAACTGGAACAAGAACACTGTCCCAGTTGGAAGGAGCTTGATGAGGTTGCCCACACCTGTCAATGTTTTGTCTGTCATGCTGCTTGAATTTGAGGAGCTGCTGGCTTTGGCCATCTTTGCTTGCTAGATGATGTTTAATAGGGGTTTTTTTGAAGCTATGAATTTAAGTGCTTTAATTGTTTTGTAAAAACTTTATGGATATGAGTTTGTATATATAGAGAGGGAGAGAGGGAGTTGCTTCTACGTAATTTGTTTGAGCTTAGATCACGTACAAGTAGAATTGTTTTGCTTTTACTTCTGGAAAGGTATGTTTTTTAAGCTTCAAAGATTAAGCACGAGGTTGGCGTTGCGGTACATTTGCTCGAAAGACTTGAACTATCACAAGTGGAAAAGTAAACTTGTAACACACCCTAAAATATTTAGGAAATGATACGTAAGCCTAAATTCCTTGCTTATTTCATGATAAAAAAATTCTCTGGTCAACTAATTGTATCATGTTACATAAGTAAAAATCATTTATTTTAGTAATCAGTTGGTGATACCACGTTACTAATACACCCGCACAATTAAGCACGAGGTTGGCGTTGCGGCACATTTGCTTGTAAGACTTGAACAATCACAAAGTAGAAAAGTAAACTTCTCACATACCCTAAAATATTTTTGAAACGATACGTAAGCCTAAATTCCTAGCTTATTTCATGATAAAAATTTTCATTACCAACTATCTGTATCATGCCATATGAGTAAAAGTGATTTATTTTAGTAAGTTCTATCACTACGTGTCAATATCTAATTAGTTGGTAATACCACGTAAGTAATACAATCGACACAATTAAGTTTTTTTCCTAGTTCATAGTCGTTGAGAAATTATGATATAGTTCGGACTATATACGAACACATACTTTACAAGCAATGTATTCATCAAATTCAAAATAGATTCACCGCAGAAACGCTCCGATGTGATTAATTTTTCATAGTTGAATAGTTACGGGTAAACGATTCGAATGGGATAAGGTAGTCACGAAGCTTTGACCAATGTATCTTGCAGCTAGTATTGTTTGTTGGATCAAGAAATCAGATAGTTTAACACCCACCCCATTCGACGGGCCCCGCCCGCCCGCCTCATTTGGGGAACTGCGAGGATGGGGGCTGTTTTGAAAACCCGACAGGTTTGGAGTGGTTTTGAAAACTCGCCTCAAATATATTATAAATTTATTAAATTAGCCTTACATGCTATGATATATTATTAAAATTGGTTAAGTGCCCGCGCACACACACACGAGGAGACCCTAACCTTCACACGAGGAGACCCTAACCTTCATTTCTTTTTATGTTTTAAATCTTGTGAAAAAAAGAGAGCCCCAAGTAGACCCTAACACACACACACACACACACACGAGGAGACCCTAACCTTCACACGAGGAGACCCTAACCTTCATTTCTTTTTATGTTTTAAATCTTGTGAAAAAAAGAGAGCCCCAAATAGGAATGACAAAAATTCCCACCCCGACGGGATCTCCCCGTTTGGGGAATATATTTGGGAGAACCGGTTATGTACGTAAATGGGGACAAGATGGAAGTTGTTTTGAAAAACTCATCATGTTTTGAGGCGATTATAGGAATGAAAAAAATTAAACGAGGATGAGATAGGCAATGAGATCTCCGCATGAAACCGCCCCATTGTCATCCTTACCCGCATACATAAAATTCAAGTGAGTCCATCTCAAGGCCGTAAAAATTTTGAGTTAGATAATAGGTATAGGATTTCAACTAGTACAGCACGGTCCAAAATATACACAGCTCCACATGTTTACCTCATGCTACTTATCTACATGACATATGCGTTTGTGTGTGTGTGTACATACTATATTTAATATATTTAAAATATATATACACACACTATATTTAATAGGTGATGAGATGTGAAACGTATGCTCTACTTTATTGTAACTCCCCAGCAACTCCAAAATATACACAGCTCCACATGTTTACCTCATGCTACTTATCTACATGACATATGCGTTTGTGTGTGTGTGTACATACTATATTTAAAATATTTAAAATATATATACACACACTATATTTAATAGGTGATGAGATGTGAAACGTATGCTCTACTTTATTGTAACTCCCCAGCAACTCCTAAGTTATGATGTAAGATAAATGGATATATATAATATTAGGAGTTACATAGAACCAAAAGAAGTTCTTTGAAATATTCAATGAAAATGATATATATTAATTTGTTATAGTAATTACTTTTGTCCTACTTTGAATACTTCTATCTGGATAAACTAGTGAAAGTGCATATAAATGGAATGTACGTATTTCAAAATCTTTATATATAAATATTTTTTTATGATTATGAATAATAATAAGACCAAGTGACGTGATTAAGATAATTACAAAATACTTTAAACATGGAGGTGAAAGTAATTGACTGTAATCCAAGGCATGGTCCATCATGAGATTTTTTAGGGGCCCTAAGTAAAATTTTAAACGCGAAATCCTTTTATAAGATTTTACACATGCGAAAAATTTATAAAAGTACAAAATTTTCATTAAAATGAGACCATAAACACATAGAATATATTAATATTAGAAACACACAAAACAAAACTCGATCTTGATATTTTTTAAAGAGCATGATTCAGTTTATAAAAATAAAAAAAAAAATAAAAAAAATTATCAATTAAAGTACTCAAATTAAGTTTTTTCAACATATCTTTTTCAATAGATATCATAACTAATCCACACAACTTAGTCATTAAAATTAATATTCAACTTCACATCAAAGTAAATGTGATTAACTTGCATTTTGAGTTGCAAAACTATCAATTAAAGTACTCCAATTAAGTTTTTTCAACGTATTTTTTTCAATAGATATCATAACTAATCCATTCGATCTCTTTGAATATTTTCTCTTAGCAGATGAAATTGTAATTGGAATAGTCAATAATTCTCTATATGTAATCCAAGCATTTGGGAAATAATAACTTAACATTTTTATAAAATATTCAAATACTTTAATTGCCTTTTTTGTTCCTCTTGGTAAAGTTTCTCTTAAGACTTATAACTTTGAAAATAATTATCTCCTATCAATATCAGAAATCATGTCACATTTTAGGCGATCTTACAAGGTTAATTGCTTTGGAAAATGTGACAATTGATTGCACATGAGTTAAAAATTTCGTTGTTTGGACTGGGCTTAACCATGCATGCACATTAGTCCAAAAATAATATAATAATAAAATAAACGAGTTTCTGAGTTTAAATATAAAAAATTCTTTTTTTATTTTTTTTAAAGGAAGGGATAGAAATAAATTATTATTACCATACAAATTATTGTATAACATATATAAATTAATATTATAAGTACGTGTGTATATTGCCATATATACATATATATATATATATATTTAAAGCCCTAAAGTGAGAATAAAAAGGCAGCATGCACAGAAAAGCTTCTACCAAACAGCATGTCCAGATCAGAGATAGTCAAGTCAGCAGCATGTAGACCTTCAAAACAAGCATCCATAGCTAGTTGAGAAGGTAAGGGAGAAATCCCCCATGTAGTCTTTGGTTCCTTTCATTCCATAAATACTATAACATAGTAGTGAACAAACATTTCATCAATTTACCCTTCATAGAATACCCTTCATTTTGATTAATTAATAAACCATAACAACATATCAGAAAAATGAGGTAGAGTCCTTAGCCCATTCCAGTGACAGAGTTGAATAAGCCAAATATTCCATAATTGTGAAGTAAAAGCACAACATCAGAAAAAGATAATCTCTTGAATCAACATCTGAGAAACAGAGGTGACAAATATAAACCCTCTCTTCTTAAGATTATGATAGGAAGGGAAGGATTTCTGAATAATGAGGGTAGATTGCACAATAATCCTAGGTCTACTAGAGTTCCAGACCATATTATACCACTAAGCAGGCACACTGTTACGGGGTTCGGACTTTGACAAGCCACCTAACAGCTATAGGGTGCTATCAGCGTGCACAGGGGTATTTTTGTAAATATGCTAAAATTAAAGTTTGGAGTTTGGATTTAAGTTATGAGAGCTTCCTTGGAGTCAAAGAAGTCTATTGGTAAAGAGGGATTTGGATTTGGAGGTCCAAAGAGTTAATTTTGTCCATTATGACTCCTCAAACATATGTAATGTTTACTCCTATCAAAGCTGTGGTTTTCCCTTATTCAAATGTAGGGAAGCACTCCTCAGCACCCATGCCTCTCAGCAAGGCCATGGCATGCCTTGCATGTAACACACATTGGGAGCTTAACCAACATGCTTAGGCATGGCACGCACTACCCAAAGGTGGTGGCTTGAGAAAGAAACACTCAGTTACGCGTCGAAAACACCAAGGACGGGCAACATGCACTAGCGCGCATGTGGACATGCTGTGGACGAACACAAGGTGTGTGCGCCATGCCCACATGCGCGAACGTATGTGCTCAAGCAAGCCCCAAACCTTATGGCATTGTTCGGCAAACCAGCACATATGAGTCCTTGGATTGTGCTAACATGTATTGAGCAAGGTTCTGGCTAGGTAGGACCGAAGTATGGGCATGGCTCAACACTATGCCCTAACAGACCAAAGCACGGGAGAACTCATAAACATTGGTTGGCTTGGTTTAATTCAGTGGGCTTGGCACAAGCTAGGTTCACATAGTTAACTCAGATGTTGCTTTAAACATGGACCACAAGTTATGGACGTGTGGTGTGGTCAATTCAGGGACATGGACATAAAGCTAGGCGTAAACAAGGCTCAGCATGCAAGGGTGGCTCAAGAGACTCAAACATGGCTTATGATTACATAAAATAGCTAGGTGGGCTCAGTTGGTTAGAGGCGGTTACTAGCATTTCCCATTCATGTGCATATATTATGGGGAGTGGGGGAATACTGAGTAACCTACCATGCACATGGCACAATTATGAGGTGACAACACACAGATGGTTGGGGTCAGCTTTACTCCATTATGTTGATAAATAGAGTTCTATAGATATCTGGCAGATGATGGGAAACCTCTTGTGGACAGATGGCATGTGTTGGGCATTCTAGCAAGCTAGTAGTTGAGCTTGTAAACTGCAAATGTAATGCTGGCATTCTGAGATTATGCCAGCACGACCCTAGGTGGATGGGGGTGTCATCTGTGACGACCC